GGGGCCCACCTGCCTCCACTCTGCTTTCTGTGGGAGGGGCTGGCATGAAGGTTTGGCCCGCACCCTGGTTCAGCTGAGCGTGAGTAGTGGGGGAGGGGAGAGGATTGAGGCTGGGTTACTTATCCCCTGGGTTCCTTCTCCGTGGGGCTTTGCAGGATGGCTGTACCCCTCTACCCAAGGCCACAGCTTTGCAGGATGGCCCTCACTGCACCCCGACCCTCTTCAGGAAGATTGACACTCTTTCCACTTGCTCAGGGATGGTGGGAACAGCTCCCCTCTTGTGCTTGGTGGGTGAGGGGAAGGGGAATGTAGTTTCCTGAAACCTGCCCTCACCTTCATAACTAGCCCCTTTGTTAAACTCTTCTCCATCACCCAATTTGAGCCCCCCCCCCACACCCCCATCTCTTGTTCATGGAGTTAGGACTCCTGGATTAGAGTCCAGGCCCTGCCACTCACTAGCTGTGGGACTAGGGACAAGTTACCTAACAGCTCGTCAGCCAGAAGAGTAGAGTCCAACCTTTCCATTGCTCCCTGTAGAAAGCCGTGGGCGTGTGGAGTGGAGGGTCTCGGACTCAGGCCCTGAGAGGGGCCAGGCAGGAGACGCTGAGGAGAAGGGGGCTTGGGCGTGTAAATGACATAGCAGCCTGCAAGGTTCCTGTGCAGGAATGCAGAGAGTGTGGCCAGAGCCTTTGATTTTTTTTTTTTAAGAGAAGCTGGAAATACAGATTTTTATGTGAACTTTGCCAAGTTTTAAATGTTTGTTCAAGTTAGCAAAACAAACAGAAACCCAACAAGAATGAGAACACTGTGCAGACCAAACGGTTTCTGACTCAACTTCTGTCCAGCCCCCATGCTGGCCTGGGAAGCTGCTCTCTGGCCTGGAAAATTGTTCCTCCCGGTGGGACATTAGGACAAGGCCTGTTGTGACCCAGCTGAAAAGTGTCAGGATTGGCCAGGTGGCTCCGCTGGCTGGAGCATTGTCCCTGACATCAAAAGGTTTCGGGTTAGATCCCGGTCGGGGCACGTACCTAGGTTGTGGGTTTGATCTCCCCGGTCTGGTCATGTATGAGAGGCAACCGAGCAATGTCTCCCCTCTCCCCACCCCCCGCCCCTCATTTTCTCTCTTCCTCCCCCCAACCCCTTCCTCTGTCTCTAAAAAAATAAAAATCAATAAACACATCCTTGGGTGGTGATAAAAAAAAAAACACAAACCCAAACTCTCAGGATTAAGTAGGTGGGGGTTCTAATAGACAAATGCTTTATAAATAGAGTCAGAGAGAAGGGTATCTAGAGGTCCAATTTTAAATTCTTTAAAAAAATATATTTTCATTGATTTCAAAGAGGAAAGGAGAGGAAGAAAGAGATAGAAACATCAGTGATGAATCATTGATCAGCTGCCTCCTGCATGCCCCCTACTGGGGCATGTGCCCTTGACTGGAATTGAACCTGGGACCCTTCAGTCTGCAGGCCGATGCTCTATCCACTGAGCTGAACTGGCTAGGGCTAGAGGTCCAATTTTAAAATAAGTGGTACTTTTGCAGTTACGACCAGTATTAGAATGAAAATAGTTTTCACTCACACAGAAGCCTGGCCTAAGTGTACCCTTTTGGATCCCTCACATGGCCCAACACAATGCCTGGCACAGAGTAATTGCTTAGTGTGTGTTTGATGAATGAATGATGAACCGATAGATGAATAGCTCTATGCTTGGTCTCACAGAAGACTGTCATGTGAATTTAGGTTGAGGGGCAAGGAAAGAGCCTGCTCTAGGCAATTCCTAAAGAAAATGAAGTTTCATGTTACAGCCAAAGGGGCCTGCTCTGGCGTCACTTGTTATGGCCAAAACTCAGGCCCTGGTTCCAGAACTCAGTCCCTGGTCGGGCACCACTTGTGCCGCGCCAGCACAGCCAAGGGTGATCCTGAGTGGGGGGGTGAAAGGATTGAGAAAAGACAGACAAGAGAATGAAAGCTGGGTCTCGGTGGGACGCTGCTCCCTGATGAGGAGACAGCGCCAGCGCCCACAAGCCGTGTCTTTATTTTATAGCAGATGCCATGAGGCAAAGTAGGGGCGTGATCACGTTGTTTACAGCATTCTTGTGAGTTCCAACCTCATTCAACTACATGCACCTGAACTCTAGCACAAGGCACGTGGGGCCAAGTGTTCAGACCATAGGTTCAAGCTTACAACCACAGCCGTTGGCTATAATTGTGCTGGGAGGGCCCTGCCCTCCAGCTGGGACTTGCACGTGGCAATGAGAGGACCCTGTCCTTTCATTAGTCCGAGGCTTAAACCTGGCCAAAACACCGTAACCGTGCTCCACAGTTTCAGTGTTCATTCAGAGAATAATTCACAATAATTCAAATTAGGTTGTTTTGTGGGTGGTTGTTTTTTGGTTAGTTGTATGTTTTGGTAAATAACAGTTCTTAAGCACAGAACCATTAGCAGTTAGCTAGGAGTAGAGGAAGTGTTTTACTTTTCATAAACTTTAGAAGTCATCTCAGCTAAAGGAGAGCAGCTTGTTCAGAATAGGGCTATTTTTCTTTTCTCATTAAACTTTATTTTAATGGACCTCAAAATTCTGTGACAGATTTTTGGTTGTTTCCATTAAGAGGTACTGATTTTGAAAACTAATAACTTTAAAACTCCCCCCCACACAAAAAAAACCCCAAATGGTCCACAAAACATTCTCCTTTCTGAAGATTTTCAATGCATTGAAATCAATAACCAGTCTTTTACTATTAAACAATCAATTGAGACAACCAGTTGTAGATTGTTCTTCATTACTGATTAAGACTGGGGTGGGCCATAGCCGGTTTGACTGAGTGGATAGTGTGTCAGCCCACGGACTGAAGGGTCCTGGATTCGAGGCTGATTGTAGGTTTGATCCCCTGCCCTGAGGGTGTGTGTGGGAGGCAACCAATTGATGTCCACATCGATGTTTTTCTGTATGTCTCTCCCTTCTACTCTTTCTAAAAAAGCAATGGGAGAATATCCTCAGGTGAGGATTAACAACAACAAGACGGGTGGAAGGTGTTGGGAATAACATTCATTTAACCTTCTTGGTGACTTTGAGAATAGGGCTATTTTTAAGGGATTGCTGCCCCCTACTGGATTCCTTGGAGAATTTGAAGCCGTCTGCTATTGGTCTTGTGCCTTGGTTTTTCGAATCAACATACAGTATACTTGATTGAGGGGCTGAGGGTGGGGCATGCAGATGAATATTGCATAGTCCTAATCCTCCAGGAGCTCATAGAAACTACAGGACTGAAGGGACTTTTGAGATGTTATTTCTCAACCCCTGATCCTCAGAATTCTGGTGGGAGCAGATGGACTTGTGTGAGGATAACTCATTAAAATATACTAGTGGAAAAAAATATATTTATACTAGTGAAGAAACTTTTCAATGAAAATTTTCTTTCTATACATTTGTTTTAGACATTGGCAATCTGCTGTGGTTTACTCTAGGGCAGTGATGGTGAACCTATGACACGCGTGTCAGAGGTGACACGCGAACTCATTTTTTTGGGTGATTTTTCTTTGTTAAATGGCATTTAAATATATAAAATAAATATCAAAAATATAAGTCTTTGTTTTACTATGGTTGCAAATATCAAAAAATTTCTATATGTGACACGGTACCAGAGTTAAGTTAGGGTTTTTCAAAATGCTGACACGCCGAGCTCAAAAGGTTCACCATCAGTCTCTAGGGGGTGCTATAAAATAAGCAATTAATATTTAGAAAAAAATCCCAAAATGTGGCAACAGATGCTCACACTTGGACAACTCTTGTTTTGTGGACACATATGCTCCTGACAGTGATTTTCTATTGTGTTTTATGATGTGTAAATTTGATGTTATTTAGTGACTTAAACTTAGTGAAGGGGAGACTTGTGCGCTGAGCACAGGTTAGATAGAGTGAAATGAATCCTTTTCCCAGGGTACTTTGCACTGGAGCTGTGACTCTTCCTGGCAGTGTTGGGAGGGACCGAGCTCTGCCATCCATCTGGAGCACTCAGCTGTGGAGTTTATTATTTTAAACAATCATTTTTTAACTTTTTTCCTATCCATCTCCTCCCCCCACCCCCCTCTCACACAACTATCAGCTTGTTCTCTATATCTATGGGTCTGTTTCTATTTTTGTTTTGCTTATTTGTTTTTTAAAAAATATTCTACACCTTAGTGAAATACAGTGTTTGTCTTTCTCTGACTTATTTCACTTAGCATAATACCCTCTAGGTCCATCTATTTTGTTGCAATGAAGATGGTGATGCAGGAGATCAAATGTCCTGAATACGCCTGTAGGCTTTACACGTGAGGGGGGTGTGTCCTGAAATCCTCCATATCTCGTACTGGCCATGCATATGCCATTGTATTTTCTGACTACTGAAATTATAAAACTGTGGTGAGAGTGTTTATCCTTTATGATTTAAGATATTTCCAGGAATTTTGGAATAGGAGACAATATTACTACCCAGCAATATTCTTTGAAACAAAATTCTTAAAGAATTTATAAAAATTGGCTTGAATCTTTGCCTTACAGATGGAATGGAAGAAAGGCTAGTACACAAATTAGGCAAGTTTCTCCCCTGTATATATAGCGATGCTACTGATATTACCATAGTTAAGCATATGTTGGGAGCAGCTTTTTAAATTGTAGGCAGGCTTATGTGATCCATCCACACTAATGTCCTTGTTATTTGAGGCGTTTATCGATGCAGTCAACATTTACTGGATATCTACCACATTCCAGGTACAGTCACCCCTCTGTATCCACAAATTCTGCATCTGTAAATTCAATCAAGTCAATCAACCACAGATTTAAAGTATGGGGGCAGGGGAGGAGGTGGGAGGAGGAGGGAGGAAGGAGAGTTACATTGTTGCTGTTGTGTCCTATGTAGTTAGGTCTATGATGGTTGGGTCTGTACTGAACATGTAGGCATTTTTTCTTGTCATTAATCCTTAATACGTTGCATTAGGTATTATATAAGTAATATAGAGATGATTTACATTATGCAAATATTTTGCAATTTTATTTAAGGGACTTGAGCATCTGCAGATTTGGGAATCTACAGGGAGTCCTGAAATCAATCCCCAGTGGATACCAAAGGATGGCTATACTGTTAGGCATTTGGGTCTGATTGTCCTTTATGCCAATAAGCTTATGTCCCACTAGGGGGAGCCAAATATACATATAAATAAGCATAACTGTTGCCCGTGCGGGGATAGAAGTCGCTGTGGAGGTGTGTGTGGAGGAGGGTATCAGAAAGAATTAGGCCCCAGGACTGGTCAGGAAGAATCTTCATAGGGAAGGTGCCTCTGAACACATTTCCGGGTAAGGAGGCTGCTGAGGTGAGCATGGAACTGTTAGGTTTTTGTGTGATGCCAACTGGAGTGACCGAAAATGAGATCTTTGGCCCTGGCCTTGTTTCCCGCACATGCTCAGTCTTGTTGACTGACCTGGTCTGAGGAACAAAGATCCCCCTGCAGGTTCAACGTGGATGCCTCAGGACAACATACCTGTGGCCCAGGCTTTGATGGTGTGTAAGTGATATCTGAGTAACAGTTTTTAGAAATCATCTCTTCTTTATTGCTACGTTCATATAAAAAGTTTGATACATTTGGGGAGGTAAAAGAAAGCCACAGTGTATATAAAGAAAGTTGTGGGAAGTTAAAAAAAATATGGCTTTAGTGTTTGGAAAAGCAGTTATGAGTTGCTCCTTGGGTTTACTTATCCAGGCGATCGAAATTCTGGGTTTGGAACTCTTGGAAGTCCTCTGGGATGGTGTCTGCGAACAAAAACAGGCACAGGGGGTTAGAGCAGGTCCTTACACAGGAATGCTGCCCCACCTCACCCAGCGCAGGCGGCCTGTAGGGGCCCCAGCAGCCATTTCCTACTTTAGGCTGCTTGGGGGACCATTGCCTCGAAGCCCAGGAGGGCTCATTCACAGGCTGAAAGAAAATCAGCAGGCAGAGTAAATGCTGAGTCTGATTATGTTTGAGCTGTATGCAAATAAAGGCTGCCTGAAAATCAAACCTCAAACCCTATGCCAAGAAGTTAAATTCCATGGGTCTCAATGTCCTCATCTATCAAATAGGAAAAATGAGGTCTACCTTTTACTTCAGTTACAGGGACGACCAGGTTTTAATGAATATGTGGCATAAATGTTGGACTTCTGGGAGGAAAGTGTGCTATAAGAATGAGGTGGCATTAATTGATTACTTCTAGTGATACTGTGCAGTAACAAGAATGTACGTTACCATTGCAGCGATACTTCAGGTTGGACCAAATGATGTTTTCTTGGGAGAAGCAGAAGACGCCGAGCCGGCCTCCTCGCATGGTGGTGTCTATGGTGACTCCAGAGTCAGCCACCAACTCGGAGCCTTCATAGAATCGCACCCTGTGGACAACACAGCAGAGCAGACCCATGAGGCTCAAACCAAGGTGAGGTGACGTGCCCATCCTGAGGCCGGGGCCCCCTCTTCTTGGACAGGCGCATCTTCGCTCTGTTTCCTATTCTGTTTTTCACAGACCTGGATTGTGCCCTAGCTGTTCCCCCTTCCCTACTAGATGGGAAGCTCCAGGAGGTCAGGGACCACGTCTTCCCAACTTGTCTCTCCAAAGGCCTAACAAGACACTGGGCACAGAGTCCCACTCAATGGGTACTTGTTAGTCAGTCACAGAGAAACCACAATATGACCCAGGACCAAGAAGTTCTGTGGCTTCATTGTTCTGAGAGTTACCTTGGCTAGTTGCCATGCCTAAGAAAAGCTGCTTTTCCTTAGGTCTGATTTATTTCTTTGGTGGCACCTCAGAGCAATGACTTTCATTAGGAGTGACACTCCCTACAGCAGGGCTTTAGAAATTTGGCTGTCACTGTGGCATTAATGAAGCCAGGGTTGCTGGGTGGCTTACAAGGCCCTGGAGAGAGCAATCAACACTTGTCCTTCATTCGAGAGGACACGTAGGTAGGTGAGGAGCCTGTTTAATCATTACCGGGGCCTAGATTCTAACTCCCTTTTACTTGTGAACATGTATTCTCTGCCCTGTTTTGATACAGGGATGGGCAAAAGTTGGTTTACAGTTACTAATAATTAATAATACAAGAATAAACTGTTCCGTGCACTCACAACTGTAAACCTACTTTTTGCCTGCCCTGTGTGCACTGAATTTTCCAGGGTAAGTTGAGAAACTGTTGAGTAAAAAAAAGCTGTTCAAAAACAAACTCATGGCCCTAGCTGGTTTGGCTCAGTGGATAGAGCGTCGGCCTGTGGACTGAAGGGTCCCGGGTTTGATTCTGGTCAAGGGCACATGCCCAGATTGTGGGCTCAATCCCCAGTAAGGGGCATGCAGGAGGCAGCCGATCAATGATTCTCTCATCATTGATGTTTCTCTCCTTCTCCCTTCCTCTCTGAAATCAATAAAAATATATTTAAAAAAACAAGCAAAAAACCAAACTCATGGATACAGAATAAACTGATGGTTGTGGGACAAAAAGACGAAGGGATTAAGAAGTATAGATCCAAGGTGGAGAGTAGTTACAGTTACAAAATACTAGTAGTTACAAGGATGTAAAGTACAAAATAGGGAATATCGTCAATAATATTGTAATAACCATGTATGGTGTAATTGGGTACTAGGCTTATGGGGAGCTCCCTTCGTAAATTATAGAAATGTCTAACCACTATACTATACACCTATGTTATACTATGCTACCTTCACAGTGATTCTAGGGATGGGTGCAAGCATTTACATGATTTGGTTATAAAGTATTTTTAAAGTGTTTCTCTATTGTTAGGGATCAAATTGCCTTTCTAAAACTATATGTGCAGGTTATGTTTTCTATGATTCCATTTGAGACAGAAGAGGGGGTTAAAAATGTGTTATAAAAAAGGGGCCTTGGACTTAACAGGGCTGAGAACAAGACCATGTTACTGTGAGACAAACAGTACATTCTACGTGAGGTCTCGAAGAATTAGCCTCATGATTTCCTTTTCCCCACTAGGCTGCCGTATCAGGAGCCTGTAATCCATGCCGCTTCGTAAACACACTGCATAAGCTGGAGGAACGAGAAAGTGAGTACACTGTCTAAATTCCACAGCTATAGTCCTAAGCCATCCTCGCTTCTGAGAATAGTTTTTAGTTTGTTTTAAAAATAGCCATATAGGGAAATAAGGCAGATTACATTGACTTACATAAAGACTGGTGCATGCCGCGTGTGGAACATGCCAGGTGCTGGTAGACTAAGATGAAATAAGACACAGGCACAGCCCTCGTGGAGCTTATGTCCAGGAGGAAAGACAGACTCTAAGGGACTCACTGCAGTGTGAAATATTCACGAGTAAGTGATCACACAGGGCGCAGGGGATCACGGGAGGTGTGGATGGAGACTCAGCCACACGGGTCAGCCTGAGTCCTCCTCCCCGCTCCTTTTGTGAGCCATAGCCCAAGGTCTCAGAAACCCTGGTCTGCGATGCAGAATGAGGGTGTGCTTTGCGTCCGGCGCAAGGTGAGATGGGTCGTCCGCCTACCTGATGTAGCCCACCTGGGGCCTGTGCTGCAGGAACCAGCGGTAGGACACCTTGTCCTTCCAACCCACGTTCCTGGAGTCCTTCCACAGCAGCCTGACCTGGTCGCTGGTGTCCCCAGTGTGCCACAGGGAATTTCGGAGATGCTCCCCTGGACCTGTCTGAGACTTAACAGCCTGGACAATGACAGGGGCAGGGTTTTAGAACAGAACACACAGGCCACCCTCCCTGGATCTGTGGGGTGGTGATGAGGCAGGGAGTTAGTTCATGGTTACAATCTGGCTGCCTTGGATTTGGACAAAAGCATAAATTCTGTAGATGCCATTTCTACTGAGGTGATCCTTGCCCTTTAATAACCAGCACTGGCTAATATTCCACTAACCCATCCCATATTTTTCCTGCTATACATCCACTGCTCCCCACATTTGCTCCAAGAAGGTTCTGAAATACACCTTTTCTCCAGCAGGAGGGAGAGGCAGCTCTCAGCCCTCCTGTATAAAGTTGGCCCCATCGAGGAAACAGCTTCCAACAGTGTGCCTGAGATGTACCCCCAAATCTTCTCCACCTCTTGGATCCTACTAGGACTGATGGTCTCACCGCTAGAGCCACCCAGAAGTTAGAAGGTAGCTTGTACATAGGAATGAAGGCAAGGACCCGGGTGGACTCTACTGTTCTCTGACTTGAACACTAGCAAGAATGCAACCATTGCCACATGGGAGACGATGGAATTTAAGAGGGCGAGGGCACAGGATTGAGATGAGTGACTTCACCCATACCTTAAGCTGAATGCCAGGTTCTGCAACAGCCCGGAACGGGGTGGCCTGCCAGTACGTCTGCTCTGTCTGCTTCCACATGACCACGTAGAAGCTGGAGCTGTCCTGGTAACCAAAGATGAAGCCGGCATAGTCATCATCCGTCTGGGTATTGACGTGGAAGGTCCCTTCGAAGTCAACTCCATTAAAAGCCGTGTATCCTGTAGAGATCAGAATACAATTAGAAAAGCAGACAAAGCCACACGGGTAGCTGGGAAGAATGAATTCTACACAAGTGGTACTGAAGGCCCTGGACATACCGACTGCCAGCCCGGGGTCGCTGTTCATGGTCTGCACAATCTCCATGCCCTGCGGAGAGAGTTGAAGGAGTGAGGCGCATTCTTCAAAGGGGCAGAGCGAGCCCCGAACCTCAGGCATCGGGGGTGAGCAGCGGTCAGCGACGTCTGACCCCCATGTAAAGATTGCATTATCTGAGGGGTTGTTCTTCCTTGTTTGGGCTCAAAGCCGAATAGAAATAATTTTGCTAAAACTGTCACTTAAGCTGACTCAATAAAGCCTTAATTGGAGAACATACACTTCTAATGAATGTCTTGCTGGGTGGTGTTGGAAAATCTAAGCCTCCATGTGCCTTCCTTCTTAGTTACACGGGGAGGCAGTCTCCTGGAGAAATCAGGAGCTTGGCTGTGGGGTCAGACTGCCTGGGTCCCCATTCAGCAATCTCAGCCTCTTACCTGCAGTGCTACCACGAGCGATCAAGCTTTACAAGCCTTGATCTCATCATCTGTACAATGGGGCTAGTGAAGCGCTTTGTCATAGGGCTACTGTGAGGAGTAACTGTGACGTGGAATGTGCCTGGCTCGCAGTCAGCACTCTCTGAACATTACTTACTACCCTCAGGGGGCCTGTGTCTGTGTTCAGGCAAAGCTGAGACATTGGCAACCATGCGACCCACCTGGTTCAGGACCACCCAGTTGGGATCGATCTGGGCGTCCCCTTCAGGGTCCAGGACCACGGTCTGGTAGGCCCTGAAGTCGGTCAGGGTGACCTCAGCATTCTCCGGGCAGACGTCGATCCGATCGATGACCTTGTCCTGGTCAAAGTCTGACTCACAGAGGTCTCCCACGCCGTCACCTGAGCGGGTTGGAAGAGGGGAAGGGGAACTTGTAAGGCCTGCACCCACCATCACTCCTGAAGAGAAGGGGGGCTGGACAAGGAACAGAAGCGAGCCCAAGGTCCACCCCAGGACAGGGCTTTCAACCCAGTGGGAAAGGAGGCCTTGACATCAGCCACGTCTGAGCCTGCCCTGGCCCACCCTGTAGTCCTGGTGAACCCAGGTGAACCCACTGTATGTGACCAAAAGAAGTACCTGGGGACTCAGTGAAGGGGAACTGTTCAAAATGGGCCTCACAAGAAACCCTGGGTGTCCTCTGAAACAGTGGGGTTCACCACCTGGTGGGTCTTAAGCCTGACCCTACATAAGCAAATGCCTATAGAACAGTGATGGCGAACCTTTTGAGCTCGGCGTGTCAGCATTTTGAAAAACCCTAACTTAACTCTGGTGCCGTGTCACATATAGAAATTTTTTTATATTTGCAACCATAGTAAAACAAAGACTTATATTTTTGATATTTATATGCCATTTAACAAAGAAAAATCAACCAAAAAAATGAGTTCGAGTGTCACCTCTGACACGTGTGTCATAGGTTCGCCATCACTGCTATAGAACTTACTACACTACACAACTCTCTACACTATAACGTATGAAAAGCATGGAAATTGTTACCAACATTTATCTCTAAGACCATGGTGGTTCTGAGGCTGAATCTGGCCCATAGTATGTTTTGTTCAGCTGATGGTACTAAAATATAGGAATCTGCATGGCTGTGGATGGGTGGGCCCTCACGGCTCACCACAGTCCTCACCGCTGTCTCATTTCTGGCTTAGTGCACACCTTTCCTTATTGGCTTGGCCCTTGCAGACATCTGAGTTTGTGACCCCACCTAAGCCACAGGCTGCTGTGCCTTCTCTCCTCCTTTTCTGTGACTCCCGGCGAGGGGAGTGAGATGGCGGAGCAGCTTTCCAGGCTCCTTGAGCGGGAGCATGTGGCTGCTCCCCGCCCACGTGCTCTCCTCCTAGGGCTCCTCAGAATTGCATAGCAGCGTTTCTCTGACAGTTGGAGAATGGTATCTACCAGACGTCTACTGTCCACACAAGCTGTGGCTACTCAGAGAAGCTGGTGCCCTGGGAGAGGTGTGCCACCTTGTGCCTGGCCGAAGGGAGCCCAGAGTCCCATGCAGTCCTGGGCTGAGCCCACTTACTGTTGCTGTCCTCCTGGGCTGGGTTGGGGACCAGCCGGCAGTTGTCCGGTCCAGGGGGCACCAGGTCTGGAATGCCGTCATTGTCATCATCATCATCACACTCGTCACCGATTCCATCCTTATCAGTGTCCAGCTGGGAACTGTTAATGACGGTGGGGCAGTTGTCTGTGCTGTCCTGGTGCCCGTCTCCGTCACTGTGGGAGGAAAGAAAGGCAGTTGGAGTCACAGGGCAGCGAGGGTCCAGCTGTCAGGAGGGAGAGTCTGGGTTGGGGGTTTTAGCCAGGCCTGGTCTTTGACCAGACACATGTGTCCTTAGATGAGGCTGCCTGTAGGCCTCAGAGACCATTTCCCACCTCCTCCACCTGATAAATAATAGATCACTTCCTAGGCAAGAAATAAGGGCCAAGTTTGTGATCTTGTGCTGAGATGCTCCTATCAGTTCCTGGAGGCTACGAGCTGATCCAGGACTGAGAGAATGTGCCAAGGGAACAGAGTGAGGGGTGGTCAGCTCCCAGACTGCTCAGCTCCTTAGCAGCATGTGGGCCCCAGGCAGGGTACTGGACCCCTCTATGGCTCAGTGCCTCATCTGTAAAATGGGAATAATAACAGAGCCTCCTTCATAAGGCTGTTATGAAGATTAAATGATTAGAATTTTGCATATTCAATTTTAATATAGGAAAAAAACTCTTCTAAGTACTTGGTCTTAGGGAGCCCTACAATGTTTTCTTTTCTATTACTCTCCACCGTCCCTGGCCAGTAGACCCAAGAAGGATCAGATGTGAATGGCAAAGGAAATAGGGAGCCCCTTCCTGAGAGGGGAGCATGGGGCTCGGCTCAGTCCTGGTCTACAGCACTTCTCAGAGCCCTCTCTCTCTGCCCACCTGATCTCCCTTCCAGGCCTAGTGCCCTGTCCCCAGAGCTTTCCCTGCTTGACAGAGACACCCCATGGCTATCCTGGATCAGAGCACATAACTCCTTTCACCTGGCTCCACCCAGGGCCTGTCTTGGGCTGGGAACTGTCCCTATCTCGTCCAGGATGGGACAGGGGAGGGAAGCCAGGGACCAGTCTATGGCCTTCAGGCCAGGCTTCCCAGCTGAGACCCAAAGAAAGTGAGGCCAACCTGGGCAAGCAGGAGATGACACAGCTCACATGGTGGGATTCCTGTGCAGGTAGCAGGGCTGCTTTTAAAATCATAAGACAGACTATTTCCATTAGCAGCCATTCTATGTAGCCCCAAACATTTTCATGCAAAAATGTTCCTAGCCTCCTCCCCAAGGTTCAGAATTGTGGGGATTAAAATGTAGCAGAATGAGTCATTTAGTTTATGCAAATATCTAGAGGCTGGTGGGACAGGATATTCTAGAAATTATTTAGATGGCACTCAGAGTGCAGGATGACCTGCAACAGGGAACATTCCTGACATCATTTAGGGAAGTTATCAGGGTACCAGTTCCACCTTCCACCCAAAAGCGGACACGTCCTATGTCAGGCTGTCTCTGACTTGCCTCTCCTCGTGCTGTGATAATAACAGCCACCTTTTCCGCAGGGCACCTGAGGACCAGCACTGTGTCGGGAGCTTTACCTTCATTCTCTCATTTCACCATAACCTTCGAGAGACAATTATCTCTCCTTTGCAGATGGAGAAGTTGAGACTCAGAGACTGAGCAGTACGTTTAAGTTCTGGTAGCCAGTGTGTGCTGTGTAGCAAGGACACTGAGCACAGGGCGAAGATGGGACTTTACAGGAACTGACCCTGAGCAAGGTCCGCCTGTAGGGCCACCTCTGGGGAGAGGTTGAGAGGGAAGCTATGTTTCCTCCTGCTCTGCCTTTTGGAGTCCTCTCCCTGCCCTGCCGCCTGTGCCATGCTTCCCCGTGGAGATGGGAGGGGTTAGAGCCTGCTTCTGCAGGAGCCGCTAGGGCAGAGCTGCACATGTCTGCATTTTTGGTGATGTTTCTGCAGTATCTGCTCCAGCCCTTGACCTAGAACTCAAACCATGTGGGGCCAGCAGGGTTGACAAAATTCATCTACAGTGAATAGTTCCACTCAAATAAGGGAAGTGGAATGAAAAATTCCAAGGGCGATGAAAACAGCAACAACAACAAACACAGTGGTCCCGCAGCAAACAGACAGCTTTCTATTTTGGGATGTGGGTGAAGCTCTCCAGAGCCGAGAGAATATAATAGTAGAAGAACTAATATCTATTGAGTGCTATCTATGTAACAGAAACTGTAATGTGCACTTTTCGCAAAGTAATCATCATAGTAGTCCTATGAGCTACATGCTATTGTCATCCCCATTTTACTAGTATAGATGAGAAAATTGGGGTGCAAGAGATTAGGTAACTTGCCTAAGTTTGTAAGTGAAGGGTTGGGATTATCTCTAGCTGTGTCACTCTGGAGCCCATCTTTGAAGTATGATACTAGACTGCCTCTCCTGTAATAAACTTTCCCTTGCTAGAGTGCCTAGTGGCACTCCTGATACTATCCCCCCCCCCCAATACAGAACTTTCAAGGAGGTGAGGTGACCCTGACCAGGGTCGGGGCTACTGTCCCACTGGCAGCTCCATCGACCCAGAGAGACCCCAAAGCAGCAGAAAGCTCTGAAGGAGAAACTCTCCAGATGTTTCCTCTGGCCCTGTGCAGCTGGGAGAGGCACCATACCTGTCCTGATTGGTGTCACAGGAATCCCCAACCAGATCGTTGTCCACATCAGACTGCAAAGAGAACAGAACATGTTATTTATCCCTGGGCCTGTGTGCACAGAATGTTCCAGAGAAGGCAGACCTGGCCCATCATCACTGGGTCTCAGGATTATTTCTCTGGAATCAGGACAGTGCAAAACTGCAAAAGGACAACACCATATTGGTGTAGGCACAATGCAGAATTTTCAGAAAAGCTTCCAAAATATCAGGCTCCACGGATGGGCTGCCTACACACCAGATGAGCTGATCAGAAAAGGGCGCCGGGGCCGCCCGGTGGCAGGTGGAGACGCGGAGCCCTGGCATGGGTCGGAAGGGAGCCAGCCATAGGCACGGGGACAAGGCAAACGGGCTTTGCTTTGCTTCTGTAGTTTGGAATTGAGCCAGAGTGAAAGCCGAGTCACAGAGGGCAACAATGACTCCCCTCTCTCAGGCTTTAAAATACATGACACATCACCCCCAATTATCCAGACAGGAAGGAGGAGTGGGAAGGGAGACAGCACGTCACTGACTGAACTTAGTCTGAAATGTCCATACACAGTCGGTGCAAGGGTTTGGGGACTA